AAAAAAAAAACGCCAGTCTGTCTCTAAGCTACCTTTTCAAGTTAACATTTATCTTAGAGGTAAAACTGAATAAAAAGAATACGAATAATAATGATACTTGTTCTGATTCTTGCAGTAAGATACCCATCGCAATTTATTCTTGTTAGAGGTTTCTTCTAAAAATGTTAATTCAGCTAAACTCAGCTATAAAAAGCAAAATCGCCATAATTACATAAAGTATATTCTCCTCGCAGAACACATAGTTAATATATTCTTTTACATCCTCTGTATTCAAAAAAAAATATTTTTTGAAATATTATCTTGCTGAGAACACGTTGGTACAAGAATGTACCTTTCATGTGGTATCCACTGAGTAAGAAGTTAGATTACAAAAGGTGAAGAATTTCTAAACTCACTACTGCAGCTATTCAAGTTTTCAAGATGTGGTGTTGTCGTACCAGTCAACTTTATATTCAACTTTATACGACCTGCTAGCTCTAGCAGTAGTTTTGAGTTTTCGAACCTAGCCTATTCTGTGCCAACCGATATCGGACTTAAGATATTTATCTGACACCACGAACCGATTTTATCTTAATACGCATATGATAGATTAATACTTCCCCTGCATAAAAGTTTGACTGAAAGAATTGTTTTTACTGATATTTGTTTTCGGCCCAGCTGACGTACGTTGTCAACCAACCCTAATTGCAGTACCTCCCATTTAAAGGTGCAAATTCACAGTGTCTCATCAACCCGAGGCACTAAACATGACTCAGCTGACAAGTGAAGACCCACTAAAGCTACTCTTCCACCGCGAAGAAGTTGCGCCAACAATTTCTTGAAACCCTTAATAATACCTCTTATACTTCCGTAAATTAAACACTTAAATCCGCGGCTCCAACTCTGCCTTTCCCCTCATCACTTCACTCCTTAAAGCGAGGCTATTCTTTTTAGTCTAGTTCCGCTTCCTATCCCGTTCTTCAGCCGTAGAATCCGCTGAACTATCCTTTAAGAACCTTTTAACCCGGGAACACGAATGACATGCTTCCAACCATATGTTACTAGTAGCCAGAAATCAAATACTAACGGCTCTTTAAAAAGTTCGTGAGACTAAAAGCTTGCACCAGGAATAACTGCTACTCAGTATTTTAAAAATAAGGAATAAGTGCACCTACTCCATAAAACTACAAGTTGTGCAAACGTTCAAAACAGAGGTTGACCTTCCAACAACTCAGCAGTATACCTAACACGAGTAATCGAGTAAAAACTTTTTAGATTACTGTATATACTGTCTACACTGCGCATAAACGTCACACAGAGGATTAAACAGACCAGAAACTTTCACAGCATGACGACCGGCAAGTCTCAAAAATAACATAACTGACCGTCTCAAACGTCTTAATATTTGAAAAACAGGTCTCCAATTCGCAATTTAAAGAGTAAAACGAAAAAAATTAATTGGCAATGATTTAAAGATGAATGGCTATTGAATAAGAATTTTAAGAAATCCCACGCAAAGAAAAAACTGAACAAATCATGAAGTAAAGAAAGCTATTTTCCAGATACGTATGCTGAAAAAAAAAA